CCTTTGGACTTCTGTGGCATCAGTTGTGATGTGTCTTTCTAACATTCATAATTCTCTTTGAGGTTTCTCTTGTCAGTGTAATTAAAGTTTCATCAGTTTAAAAAATCTTTTCAAGAGGCCAACTCTTAGTCTCTTGATATTTCATTTTTCTATTTTCATATTTTACTCTGATCTGTGTTATTTTATTTATTTATTATTTGGTCTTTGTGAGACAAGGTCTCCCTGTAGCCCCAGCTGGCCTAGAACTCGCTATGTAGACCAGGCTGGCCTCAATCTTACCTGCTTCTGCCTCCTGAGTGCTAAGATTAAAGAAATGTGCCAACCCTGCCCCCCGCCCCAGCTTTGCTCTTTCTTGTTTTTGACTCTGGGCATTGCTTTTTCTTTTTCTAGATTACTAAAGTATAAAATTAGGCTCTGTAAAATCTTTTTCCTTTAAGTTGGACATATATTGCTACAAACTTCTGTCTTAAAACTCCTCTTGCTCTATTCCATATGTTTTGGCATTTTGTATTTCCATTTTAATTCACATCATTATTTAAATTTTTATTTTTAAAAGTATTTTAGTTATTATTTTTATTTTATGTGTAAGTGTGTATTACCTGCATGTAGGTAAGTGCACCCGTGTTGTGTAATGCCTGTGGAGGACAGAGGAGGCTGTGGATCCCCTGGGACTGGAGTTATGGACAATTGTTAGCTGCTATGTGGGTGCTGGGATTCGAACCTGGGTCTTCTGCAAGAACAGCCAGTGTTCTTTTTTTATTTTCAGGCTGATGCTACTTTATTATTATTTTTTTTACTTTTACAAAAACTTTGAGACTTTCATACATGCATATAAGGTGTTTTGATCAAATCCATGCCCACTCTCTCCCTTCCAATACCTCCCATATCTCCCCATCACTTTTTTTTCTTTTTCTTTTTTTCTTCTTTCATTTCAGCCAGTGTTCTTAACTGCTGAGCCATCTCTCCAGCCCCTGTTTTGATTTTTTCTTTGATGCCTCTGGTCATTCATGTATGTGCTGTTTAATTTCTACATGTTCGTGAATTTTCCCATTTCTGCTATTGATTTCCAGTTTTTACTACTGTGGTTAGAAAAGATATTCAACATGATTCAAATATTCTTACATTGATTAGGACTCATGTCCTAAAATAGGATCTGTCCTGGAGAATGTTCCATGTAAGTCTGAAAAGAATGTTTACTCTACTGCTGCAGTGAGGTCTTCTGAATGTAGTGTATATATTTGTTGAGTTCATTTTCTCTATAGTGTAGTGTTGAGTCCAATTTGTCCCTATTGATTTTCCATCTGGATTCATTTTTGGAAATATGAAGCCATCTATTAGTAATGCCCTCTTTTGTAACTTCCCTTTATATATTTAGGTGCTTTGGTGTTGAGTGTGTACATATATATACAGCTGTCACATTCCATTGGTTGATAGATCCCCTTATCATTATATGATGGCCTTCTTTGTCTCCTGTGAAAGCTTTTTATTTAAAGTCAGTTTTGTCTGCTATTAGTATAGCTGCCCCTGCTGTGTTTTAGTTACCATTTGCATAGAATATCTCCTTACAGCCCTTCACTTTCAGCCTCTGTGTGTTGTTAAAGCCAAACTGAGTTGTATAGGCAGCATATTGTTGGAGCTTAAAAAAAAAAACAAGGACTGGAAAGATGGCTCAGAGATTAAGAGCACTGGCTGCTCTCGCAGAGGACCTGAGTTCGATTTCTAGTATCCACATTGTTGGTGACTAATAACTGTCCGTAACTCCAGTTCCAGGGGAATCCAACACCATTTTCTAACCTCCTCAAGCATTGCATGACATGGGTGCATTTACATACATGCAGTCAATACACTCATACACATAAAATAAAAAATAAAATACAACCCCCCCAAATTCATCGATCACACTGTATTTCATTTGTGGAGAATTTGATTCATTTACATTTAAAGTAATTGATTGGCGAGAACTTAGTGCTGCCATTTAAAAATCACCTTCTTATTGGTTTGCAGTTCTTTGCTTGTGTTCTTCCTCTCTTGCTGTCTTCCATTATGACTTGAAGATTTATCTATTGAAGATTTATGTTTGTAGTTACCTGAGGCTTACATAAAACATCTCATAACTCTACTTCAAACTTATAATAATTTTGTTTGAAAACAAAATCTTTACTCCTATTTTACTTTTCTATTGTTTGTGAGTTTTATACATGCATATACTATGTTTTGATTAAATCCACCCTCCATTCCCTCACTCCCAACTCCTTCCCTATCTTCATTTTTACCTACCAACTTCATTCTTTCTCTCTCTCTCATTCCACAGAGTCCACTTAGTGCTGCCTGTATTGCATGGTTGTAGGACCATCTACTGGAGCATGGGTAGCCTCTCAGGGGCCACATTCCTGAGAAAACTGACTCGCCCTCCCACAGCAGCCATCAGCTAACATGAAAGACCTCTGAAAATGCCATACAGAAAATTACTATTGTAGAAGCATTCTAAAATATATAGATATAATATATAAAAGGGGATTAAATGGAGTCACCATATCATGGGGGCGGGGGGGGGGCAGTGCCTCCTTCAGACACCATAGACTATCAAAGAAAAAGCACAGTGCCAGAAATGGGTTACCTCTTTTCAAGCTGTTGGTCAATGGGGTCCCATAGACCTCCCCCCAACATTACAGCCAATTGTCATTTCTCTTGGTTACTCTCCAGAACTTGATGGTAAGACCTATTGCTGAAAACACTGCATACTCAAGTCATAGGACATAAAGAAATCAAGCTGGTACCAACCTGGAAGCTTCAACCCTACTGGCTAACTTTCATAATGCTAGAAGGATCTATTTACACTGCCAGGGAGAAAAGTGTTCAGCACTCTTACCCATCTGTGAACCATATGAGCTACAATAATGACTGATCTGGCATGAAATGCCTACTGGTGCAATTGTGGCACAAATGTTACAGGACTAAACCATCTTATTTTATTTACAAAACAATTCACATATCTTGTGTATCATGTACCCATTAACAAATTATTAGAGTTGGACTTCTTTTTAGTACTTTCATACTAGAGTTAGAAGATTTCAGTTTTAAAGTCTACTGTCCTTAAGACAGGTTAATAGGGGACTGGCTTGATGTTGTGGCAGAGGCTTGGTCTGTGGGTGTCACCCTGGTGAAATGTTCTCAGGGGTATGTTTGGTGATGGGGTCTGCAACAAAGTCTGGTCTTGGTGTTGGCTTTCTCCCTTCTCCCATATGGAAAGTGTCCCCTCTTTGCTGTGCTACCCGGACCTGGGAGAGTTGATGCAGGTCATATGAAGCCATTTCATACTTTCTTCATTGAATCTCTTATTTCTGTGTTACAGAAATAGCTATCATTGAGCTATAATCGGTCACCGGAATTCCTTAGCTTTTCTGAAGGCATTTTTGCATGTGAATAATTTTGCATGTGGATAATTGTTTAAACTGTTTCTATGAAGAGGTGGGCACTGGAAAGCCTCATTCCATCATCTCGCTGAACTCACTCTTGTGTATGTTGATATACCACATGATACTCCTGATTTTGTAAATGTAGGAAGCATGTATGTGTGTATGTATGTATGTATGTATGTATGCATATATGCATATATGCATGTGAATTCTATTTGTGAATTTGATTTTTTTTCTTCCAAGTAGTATATCATGACCTTCCTTCCATAATACTCTACTTGAAACATTTTAATGATTGCATAATACTCCATTGTATAAATGTATTAAATATTAATCAGTTTGGTTAATTTTGTTCATTTATTCTCTTGTTATTACAAAAAATCTCCCAGGAGCTCCTTTCCTGTGTGTCTTTGGATACATCCTTAGTTACTTTCTGAGGATTTAGTTGTAGATATGGAACAGGGGAGTCAAATGAACTGAAAAATCTTACTATTTCTTATCACTATCATCTTGAGACGACAAAGTAAGTGGCTCTCCCATCTCCTACAGTCCACAGGTTTGTTGGCTGTCATGGCTGCCAGTGAGGAAAAGGAAGTCCCTGTCCTCCTTTTCTCAGGTCTTAGCTCCCAGTGCCTTGGATGTTTCATCACACCACCCAGGGCCATGTGGTTAGCAACCCATCAGGGAAACAGACAGGGAATCTGCAGCAAAGCACCTGCAGGCCATTTAGAAGCTGAGCCAAGACACACATACACACACACACACACACACACACACACACACACACACACACACACAAATGTACATGAATAAACCTTCATGTGTCCTGACTGCTTTGCTTGTAAAGTAGATAGTATGAAATTCAGAACTAGAGAGAAAACCAGCAGTGTTGTCAGCTGATAATCCTGAACAGTTGTAAGGTTGTAAGTTTGAAATGGTACATTACCACGGGTAGAACTGTGGAGATTAAGATTTCAGCCTAGGTGCTGGAGAGGTGGCTCAGTGATTAAGAGCACTGGCTGCTCTTGCAGAGGACCTGGGTTCAATTCCCAGCACCCATATGGTGGCTAACAACCATCTGTAGCTCCAGTTCCAGGGAATTTGATGCCCTCTTCTGACCTCCATGGGCAATGCATGACACAGGTGCACATATACACATGCAGGCAATATGCTCATACATATAAAATAAAAATAATAAATAAAGCTGGGTGTGGTGGTGCACGCTTTTAATCCCAGCACTTGGGAGGCAGAGGCAGGCAGATCTCTGTGAGTTCAAGGCCAGCCTGGTCTACATAGTGAGTTTCAGGACAGCTGGGGCTTGCAGGGAGATCCTGTCTCAAAAAGACCAAATATATATATATATATATACACATATATATATATAATAAAAAATATTTCACTCTGTCTCTCTCACAATCCTTTTAATTTCTATTTCATCTGATTTTTTTCCCTTGCTGGTTTTGTAAATTGGTCAATACCCATTTTTAAGATGGATAAGTAAAACCAGAATAGTTGATTGAAATTTTCCATGAGGACATCCCTTGTTTATGAATAGCCCTCACATGCCAATTCTTCCTTTTTTAGATTTGGATCCTACAAAGAAGGACACAATCATGAAAATAACCATCATTTTCACATGAGTACCCCCAAATACTTTGTTTGAACAACTTAAAACAAGAAGCCATCAACTGTGCAAGTCTAAGGGGAAAATACAGAAGATCAAAAAGAAGAGTTTCATGAAAATGGGAAGAGTCTTATGACAAACCTCAGGTGTTAAAAATATGATATCATATGCTGGGAAATCCATCAATTCATAAAATATGCTGCTTAATAAAGGCATTTCTCCAAATTATTTTTGTTAAACCTTTGGTAAAAAATGAGTGTGTGGGAGAATGGAGAGATTGTTCAGTGGTTAAGAGCACTCTTGCAGAGGACCCAGGTTTGAATCCCAGCACCCACATAACAGCTAACAACCACCTGTATTTCTAGTTCCAGGGGACCCAATGCCCTCTTCTGACTTCTGCAGGCATTACATGACACGGGGCACTTATATGCATGCAGGCAATAATACACTCATATGCATAAAATGAAAATAATAAGTAAAATGTTTTTAAAAAGTGAGTTCGAGGCCAGCCTGGTCTACATAGTGAGTTCCAGGCCAGCTTGGGCTACAGGGAGACCCTATCTCAAAAAGACCAAAAAAAAAAAAAAAAAAAAGTGAGTGTGTGGTAATATAAGAAAGTCTTAGGGCTGGGACTGTAGCTAAATGAGAGTGCTTACCTGTCTTGTGTGAGGCCCTAGGTGCAATCCACAGCACTGCCAGGAACTAAAAAGGAAAACACTGACTTAAAGTTATCTTGGAAATACCTGGGCCAGGCAGATGGCTCAGTAAGTAAAGTGCTTTTTGCACAAGTATGAAGACCTGAGTTTGAATCCTCAGTACCTCTATAAAAAAGCCAAGTGTGGTGGCACACTTCTATAACCCCAGTACTTGGGGAATGACAGAGACAGGCAGATCCTGAGGGCTCTTGACAGCCAGTCTAGCCAGTCAGCACTAGGTTCCAAACATAAGATGGAGAGTGACAGGTACAGGAGAACATCTGATGTCCACTTGTGATCTCCACATGTGCATACCACACATATACATATGAAAGTCTTACTGGTATAGATGAAACCATTTGAATGTGACTTATTTTTTAATACTTAAAGTAGGAAATTGATTTACTGGTTCACTGGAAAGACTACTTGAAAGAATCAAGAACTCTGAAATCTTTCTTGGGAGACAGTAGGGCAAAATTGCTCACAGGCTGTGCCAGATTGTTAGAAGAAGAATGTGTGTGTGGCTGTCACAGATGCAGCAGCCTCTGCCCCAGAGCCATCCTTCCTGCATGGTGACATCATCTCTCCCATGCTTCCATGCCACTCCATGGTTGTACATGACACCCACGTGGATGCTCCAATAGCCAGGCCACTGTTCTTTCAGGCACACACATTACACACAGTGGGGACCTATAAAGAGAATTATATTCCTCAAAAGCAAACAAGTAAGACTCTATAGCACTCTCTATGGGTGATCATCACTTGAATGTTGGCCATGGAGACATATAAGATCTTAGAATTGCAAAGGACTTTGGGTTTGCTTTATCTTTGGGGACAGAGATAAAAACTAGAAAGGAACTTCTGAAGCTCTATATTACCAGCTAAGGGGCCTTTGTGGAACAACTTAACAAAAGTGTATCAAACACACACTGTACAAAACACCATGTCTTGTGGTAGTTCTAAAAATATGTTCACAAACGATCTGACACTGCTTTCAAAAGCTGGAGACTAATTCAGTTCTCTTTGAATGCAGGCTAGGCTTGCAGACTCATTTCTAATGAAAATGCAGTGGGAGGGAGGGTGCAGCACCTCAAGTGCAGGTTGTACAAGTTTCAGTCTTACCTAATCTTGGGGAAGCCAGCCGCGTATGGTGAGGCACTGACTTTTGCTCTGGCCACACTTGGGATGACTTCAGTCCGAAGTCTTGATTGCAACTCCACGGGACACACTGAGCTCTGACCACCTGCTTTAGCCATTTCCAATCTTAACAGATATCAGCTGTTTATTATTATTATTATTATTATTATTATTATTATTATTATTTTATTGTGTTTTTGAGACAGGGTCTCCTTGTAGCCCCAGCTGTTCTGGAACTCACTATGGATAGGGGTTGAACAAGTTTGCAGCCCCACTAGCAGTGGATGAGTGTTCCCCTTTCCCCACATCCTCTCCAACATTTGGTATCATTTGTTCTCTTGATCTTTTTTTTTTGGACTTTTTTGAGACAGGGTCTACCTATAGTCCCATCTGACCTGAATTCGCTATGTAGACCAGGCTGGCCTCAAACTCCCAAAGATCTGCCTGCCTCTGCCTTCCGAGTGCTGGGATTAAAGGCATGGTGGCCCCAGCTGTTTATTATTTTAAGCAACTATGTATTGGGCAGTCCGTTAGGCATCAGTAGAGAAGTAAGGCAGCTTTTGAACTTGAGCAATTTTGAGAATCTGCCAATCACAAACATAATCTTCAGTATGTATTTATTATATCCTTTGTGCAGTGCTAAGTACAGAAGGGTGGTGGGAGGAGTTACATAACTGAAAAAGATACTGTCCTAAATACCACGTAGGAGACAGGTTATGAATACCGCTTACATAATAATTATGGATTATTTATCTACTATTGAATTAGGTGCTTTACCAACAATGTCTCTGAAAATACTGCAAGCTTATATATCCTGGATACTAACTGAGGTCCCTCTATCCTTCAACTCTGGATAAGATTGTCAGAATCCTCGTTCTGCTCTCTCTAGAAGACAATGTCCTCCTTTAGACTTTTGTGACTTGTGGGAGGTGAAGGGGGAGACACATTCTTGCAGTTACACTTTTCACTGACATTCCACTGTCAGATTCCAGTTCATATCTGATCTGATGGTTGCATTTCTGACACGTGAGCTCCATTACTGTGCAAGACAGACACAAAGAGAGAATGCATTTACTGCACAGAGACAGTGCCTGGCCCTCAGTGGGTGGGTGCTCAGTATTCCCCAGAGTGCTGGGGCGGCAGATGCACACACAGGAACAAGATCAGTTTCTGTTTTATTGCAAACGAACATAACTTGACTCTCTCCTTAACTTCCTGAACACTAAGGAAAATAAAACACCCTATACGTCTCAGTGGTTAACACGTTTTACTGAAGGCTTGAAAAGACAGAGAAAGGGCTACATTATAAAAGCTCAAAACATCTTCATGTAGAATAATTAGTATTCTTTGTTTATAAGTCTCTTGTCCCCACCATACATTGTAGTTAGCTGTTTCTTCTTGGGTTTTCTATACCTCCCTCAAATTTCTAACAAACTAGAATAATTTTTTTTTCTTTTTTTTTAATTATTTAATAACCACATGATTAGAAGCATTTCATTACAGCATTAACATATTCAATAACAATTTCCAGACGCTTCTCTTTCAATATTGGCTCTAAATTTTTAGGTTCACATTTGAACTAATACAGTTATACATTATTGTACTCGGTATAAACCTTATAAGACATAAAATTGAATGAGGCTTTAAACTTTAAAAAAGATCTCCATTTCATTTTAGAATATATTGTTCCTTGCAGAAAGACTCATTGTTTTTGCTACTAACACTGAGATGTTGGCGCATGCATCTCTAATCTGTATGCATCTGATTATTATTAGTTCTAATCGGTTGCACTTGGATTCTT